CTGTGTGAGTCTGTGGGTCTGTCTGTGTGAGTCTGTGGATCTTTCTGTGAGTTTGTGGGTCTGTTTGTGTGAGTCTGTGGGTCTGTCTGTGTGAGTCTGTGGGTCTGTCTGTGTGAGTCTGTGGGTCTGTCTGTGAGTTTGTGGGTCTGTCTGTGTGAGTCTGTGGGTCTGTCTGTGTGAGTCTGTGGGTCTGTCTGTGTGAGTCTGTGGGTCTGTCTGTGTGAGTCTGTGGATCTTTCTGTGAGTTTGTGGGTCTGTTTGTGTGAGTCTGTGGGTCTGTCTGTGTGAGTCTGCGGGTCTGTCTGTGTGAGTCTGTGGATCTTTCTGTGAGTTTGTGGGTCTGTTTGTGTGAGTCTGTGGGTCTCTGTCTGAGTCTGTGGGTCTGTCTGTGTGAGTCTGTGGATCTTTCTGTGAGTTTGTGGGTCTGTTTGTGTAAGTCTGTGGGTCTCTGTGTGAGTCTGTGGGGCTCTGTGTGAGTCTATGGGTCTCTGTGTGAGTCTGTGGATCTCTGTCTGTGTCTATGGGTCTCTGTGTGAGTCTATGGGTCTCTGTGTGTGTCTATGGGTCTCTGTGTGAGTCTATGGGGCTCTGTGTGAGTCTGTGGGTCTCTGTGTGAGTCTATGGGTCTATGTGAGTCTATGGGTCTCTGTGTGTGTCTATGGGTCTCTGTGTGAGTCTATGGTGCTCTGTGTGAGTCTGTGGATCTCTGTCTGTGTCTATGGGTCTCTGTGTGAGTCTGTGGATCTGTGTGAGTCTATGGGTCTCTGTGTGAGTCTGTGGGTCTCTGTGTGAGTCTGTGGATCTCTGTGTGAGTCTATGGGTCTCTGTGTGAGTCTGTGGGTCTGTCTGTGTGAGTCTGTGGATCTTTCTGTGAGTTTGTGGGTCTGTTTGTGTAAGTCTGTGGGTCTCTGTGTGAGTCTATGGGTCTCTGTGTGAGTCTATGGGTCTCTATGTGAGTCTATGGGTCTCTGTGTGAGTCTGTGGGTCTCTGTGTGAGGCTATGGGTCTCTGTGTGTGTCTATGGGTCTCTGTGTGAGTCTATGGGGCTCTGTGTGAGTCTGTGGGTCTCTGTGTGAGTCTATGGGTCTATGTGAGTCTATGGGTCTCTGTGTGTGTCTATGGGTCTCTGTGTGAGTCTATGGGGCTCTGTGTGAGTCTATGGGTCTCTGTGTGAGTCTGTGGATCTCTGTCTGTGTCTATGGGTCTCTGTGTGAGTCTGTGGATCTGTGTGAGTCTATGGGTCTCTGTGTGAGTCTGTGGGTCTCTGTGTGAGTCTGTGGATCTCTGTGTGAGTCAATGGGTCTCTGTGTGAGTCTGTGGGTCTGTCTGTGTGAGTCTGTGGATCTTTCTGTGAGTTTGTGGGTCTGTTTGTGTAAGTCTGTGGGTCTCTGTGTTAGTCTATGGGTCTCTGTGTGAGTCTATGGGTCTCTATGTGAGTCAATGGGTCTCTGTGTGAGTCTCTGGGTCTCTGTGTGAGTCTGTGGGTCTCTGTGTGAGTCTATGGGTCTCTGTGTGAGTCTGTGGGTCTCTGTGTGAGTCTGTGTGTCTCTGTGTGAGTCTATGGGTCTCTGTGTGAGTCTATGGGTCTCTGTGTGAGTCTATGGGTCTCTGTGTGAGTCTATGGGTCTCTGTGTGTGTCTATGGGTCTCTGTGTGAGTCTACGGGTCTCTGTGTGAGTAGTCTGTGGGTCTCTGTGTGAGTTTAGGGGTCTCTGTGTGAGTCTGTGGATCTCTGTGTGAGTCTGTGGGTCTCTGTGTGAGTCTATGGGTCTCTGTGTGAGTCTATGGGTCTCTGTGTGAGTCTGTGGGTCTCTGTGTGAGTCTATGGGTCTCTGTGTGAGTCTATGGGTCTCTGTGAGTCTATGGGTCTCTGTGTGAGTCTATGGGTCTGTGTGTGTGTCTATGGGTCTCTGTGTGAGTCTATGGGGCTCTGTGTGAGTCTATGGGTCTCTGTGTGAGTCTATGGGTCTCTGTGTGAGTCTATGGGTCTCTGAGTGAGTCTATGGGTCTCTGTGAGTCTATGGGTCTCTGTATGAGTCTATGGGTCTCTGTGTGTGTCTATAGGTCTCTGTGTGTGTCTATGGGTCTCTGTGTGAGTCTACGGGGCTCTGTGTTAGTCTGTGGATCTGTGTGAGTCTGTGGGTCTCTGTGTGAGTTTAGGGGTCTCTGTGTGAGTCTGTGGATCTCTGTCTGTGTCTATGGGTCTTTGTGTGAGTCTATGGGTCTCTGTGTGAGTCTGTGGGTCTCTGTGTGAGTCTGTGGATCTCTGTCTGTGTCTATGGGTCTCTGTGTGAGTCTGTGGATCTGTGTGAGTCTATGGGTCTCTGTGTGAGTCTATGGGTCTCTGTGTGTGTCTATAGGTCTCTGTGTGTGTCTATGGGTCTCTGTGTGAGTCTGTGGATCTGTGTGAGTCTGTGGGTCTCTGTGTGAGTTTAGGGGTCTCTGTGTGAGTCTGTGGATCTCTGTCTGTGTCTATGGGTCTCTGTGTGAGTCTGTGGGTCTCTGTGTGAGTCTGTGGATCTCTGTCTGTGTCTATGGGTCTCTGTGTGAGTCTGTGGATCTGTGTGAGTCTATGGGTCTCTGTGTGAGTCTGTGGATCTGTGTGAGTCTATGGGTCTCTGTTTGAGTCTGTGGGTCTCTGTGTGAGTCTGTGGATCTCTGTGTGAGTCTATGGGTCTCTGTGTGAGTCTGTGGGTCTCTGTGTGAGTCTATGGGTCTCTGTGTGAGGCTATGGGTCTCTGTGTGTGTCTATGGGTCTCTGTGTGAGTCTATGGGGCTCTGTGTGAGTCTATGGGTCTCTGTGTGAGTCTGTGGATCTCTGTCTGTGTCTATGGGTCTCTGTGTGAGTCTGTGGATCTGTGTGAGTCTATGGGTCTATGTGTGAGTCTGTGGGTCTCTGTGTGAGTCTGTGGATCTCTGTGTGAGTCTATGGGTCTCTGTGTGAGTCTGTGGGTCTGTCTGTGTGAGTCTGTGGATCTTTCTGTGAGTTTGTGGGTCTCTGTGTGAGTCTGTGGGTCTCTGTGTTAGTCTATGGGTCTCTGTGTGTGTCTATGGGTCTCTGTGTGAGTCTATGGGTCTCTGTGTGAGTCTATGGGTCTCTGTGTGAGTCTATGGGTCTCTGTGTGAGTTTATGGGTCTCTGTGTGAGTCTATGGGTCTCTGTGTGTGTCTATGGGTCTCTGTGTGAGTCTATGGGTCTGTTTGTGAGTCTATGGGTCTCTGTCTATGGGTCTCTGTGTATCTCTATGGGTCTCTGTGTGAGTCTATGGGTCTCTGTGTGAGTCTATGAGTCTCTGTGCGTGTCTATGGGTCTCTGTGTGAGTCTATGGGTCTCTGTGTAGTCTATGGGTCTCTGTGTGAGTCTATGGGTCTCTGTGTGAGTACATGGGTCTCTGTGTGAGTCTGTGGGTCTCTGTGTGAGTCTATGGGTGTCTGTGTGAGTCTATGGGTCTCTGTGTAGTCTATGGGTCTCTGTGTGAGTCAATGAGTCTGTGTGTCTCTGTGTGAGTCTGTGGGTCTCTGTGTGAGTCTATGGGTCTCTGTGTGAGTCTATGAGTCTATGGGTCTCTGTGTGAGTCTATGGGTCTCTGTGTGAGTCTATGTGTCTCTGTGTGTGTCTATGGGTCTCTGTGTGAGTCTATGGGTCTCTGTGTGAGTCTGTGGGTCTCTGTGTGAGTCTATGAGTCTCTGTGTGTGTCTATGGGTCTCTGTGTGAGTCTATGGGTCTCTGTGTGAGTCTATGGGTCTCTGTGTGAGTCTATGGGTCTCTGTGTGAGTCTATGGGTCTCTGTGTGAGTCTATGGGTCTCTGTGTGAGTCTATGGGTCACTGTGTGTGTCTGTGGATCTCTGTGTGAGTCTATGGGTCTCTGTGTGAGTCTGTGGGTCTCTGTGTGAGTCTATGGGTCTCTGTGTGAGTCTGTGGGTCTCTGTGTGAGTCTATGAGTCTCTGTGTGAGTCTATGGGTCTCTGTGTGAGTCTGTGGGTCTCTGTGTGAGTCTATGGGTCTCTCTGTGAGTCAATGAGTCTGTGTGTCTCTGTGTGAGTCTATGGGTCTCTGTGTGGGTCTATGGGTCTCTGTGTGAGTCTATGGGTCTCTGTGTGAGTCTGTGTGTCTCTGTGTGAGTCTATGGGTCTCTGTGTGAGTCTATGGGTCTCTGTGTGAGTCTATGGGTCTCTACCAAACAAAGCGACTCTAACCCAGCGGCACGCTCTGTCTGATTCCTTTCCAAGCTGCCAGTGAGGCGTGGAGACTCGCAGTGTCGGTGAGACTCCCTCGTTCACGTGCATCGGTGTCATGGATTGATCCCTTGGAACTTGCGTTTCATCAGTTCAAGTGTCGTGCGTTGTGTGTGTGTTGTGTGTGCTGTGTGTTCAGTGTTGTGTTCTTTGTGTGTGCTTGTGTGTGGTTTGTTGTGTTATTTGTGTGTGCTTGTGTGTGGTGTGTGTTGTGTGTGTTGTTTTGGTGATTGTGTTGTGTGTGGTGCGCTTGTGTGTGTGCTTGTGTGTGTGTTGTGTGTGCTTGTGTGTGTGTTGTGTGTGCTTGTGTGTGTGTTGTGTGTGCTTGTGTGTGGTCTGTTTTGTGTTGTGTTGGTGTGTGTTGTGTTGGTGTGTGTGTTGTGTTGTGTGTGGTGTGTTTTGTGTGTGGGGTGTGTGTGTGTGCTTATGTCTGTGTGTGTGTGTGTCTGTGTGTGTGTGTCTGTGTGTGTGTGTGTCTGTGTGTGTGTCTGTGTCTGTGTGTGTGTGTGTCTGTGTGTGTGTGTGTCTGTGTGTGTGTCTGTGTGTGTCTGTGTGTGTCTGTGTGTGTCTTGTGAACCCCCCTCCGTGTTGTTAGCGGACGGTCCCTGAGCAAGCGGATCTCACAGAACAACCTCTGAGATCCACTTCTTCTTGAACTGACTCTGTGGTCCACTCAGAGCGGTCCACAGAAGTGGATGTCGTAGAGCCACGTTTTAAAGGTTTGACGGTGCTGGACCTTTATCCCCGTGCGTGTCGGGGTCGCAGAACCGGCGAGGAATTCGAAGAACGATGCTGGAGCCGCGGTCCAGGATTCAGCGCGGCAATGGCCACGTCTGATTCACGTGGTCTCTGGAGAGGACTCCTGCGATTTTGGTACGAACCCCAGCCACTTGGCTGCCTGCAGATTCAGTCTGCGCACGCGCTAACACACACACGCATGCTAACACACACACACACACGCGCATGCTAACACACACACGCTAACACACACACACACGCTAACACACACACACATGCGCTAACACACACACACACACACGCTAACACACACACACACACGCTAACACACACACACGTGCTAACACACACGCATGCTAACACACACACACTCGCTAACACACACACACACGCGCTAACACACACGCGCTAACACACACGCGCTAACACACACAGGCTAACACACACACGCATGCTAACACACACACACACTCGCTAACACACACGCGCTAACACACACAGGCTAACACACACGCATGCTAACACACACACACACTCGCTAACACACACACACACACGCGCTAACACACACACACGCGCTAACACACACACACACACACGCGCTAACACACACACTTGCATGCTCACGCACACACGCACACATGCACACACACATGCACTCGCTAACACACACACACGCGCTAACACACACACACACGCGCTAACACACACACACACGCTAACACACACACTCTCGCTAACACACACACACTCGCTAACACACATTCGCTAAGACACACACATACACGCGCTAACACACACACTCGCTCACACACACACGCGAACACACAAACACGCACACACACAAACACGTGTAGTGGGTCGTATGGAGACGGAGTCTTCTTAGGAGGCAACGCGTATTTATTAAACGATCAACACAGAAGGTCCCTAACTCGAAGGGGTAATGGGCCCCTTCTACCCAACAACCTCAGGAGGTACCACAGCCTCGGGGCTCACGTGCCCTAGCCACTGGGACCAACCACTCTTCAGCCCTCCGGCTAAAGGCACCTCGGGGTGGCTGACCCGACCCAGCCAAGGTCCTCGCGTCCCGACCGTTGGCCCACTCAGGGTCCGGGGTTCCCTCAGGGTCCTAGCTGACTGACCGCTAGCCCACTGAACTCCAGCCCTCAGAAGGACGTGGGGTCGGGGACACTCAGGGTCCTAGCTGACTGACCGTTGCCCTCAGTGAACTCCGGCCCTCAGAAGGACGTGGGGTTGGGGTTTCTCAGGGTCCTAGCCGACTGACCGTTGCCCTCAGTGAACTCCGGCCCTCAGAAGGACGTGGGGTCGGGGTATCCTCAGGGTCCTCGCTGACTGACCGCTAGCCCACTGAACTCCGGCCCTCAGAAGGACGTGGGGTCGGTGACACTCAGGGTCCTAGCTGACTGACCGTTGCCCTCAGTGAACTCCGGCCCTCAGAAGGACGTGGGGTCGGGGTTTCTCAGGGTCCTAGCCGACTGACCGTTGCCCTCACTCCGCTCCGGCCCTCAGAAGGATGTGGGGTCGGGGACACTCAGGGTCCTAGCTGACTGACCGCTGGCCCACTTAGACCCGGCCCTCAGAAGGACGTGGGGTCGGGGACCCTCAGGGTCCTAGTCCACTGACCTTTGCCCTCACTCAGACCCGGCCCTGAGAAGGACGTGGGGTCCGGGAATCTTCAGGGTCTTGGTCCACTGACCGTTGGCCTCAGTGACCTCCGGCCTTTAAAAGGACGTCGGGTCAAGGACACTCAGGGTCCTAGCCAACTGACCGTTGCCCTCAGTGAACTCCGGCCCTCAGAAGGACGTGGGGTCGGGGGACACTCAGGGTCCTAGCCGACTGACCGTTGCCCTCAGTGAACTCCGGCCCTGAGAACGATGTGGGGTCGCGGGTTTCCTGAGGGTCCTAGCTGACTGACCGCTAGGCCACTCAGACCCGGCCCTCAGAAGGACGTGGGGTCGGGGACCCTCAGGGTCCTAGTTCTCTGACCGTTGCCCTTACTGAGCTCCGGCCCTCAGAAAGACGTGGGGTCGGGGACACTCAGGGTCCTAGTCCACTCACCGCTAGCCCACTCAGACCCGGCCCTCAGAAGGACGTGGGGTCGGGGACACTCAGGGTCCTAGCTGACTGACCGCTGGCCCACTCAGCTCTGGCCCTCAGAAGGACGTGGGGTCGGGACACTCAGGGTCCTCGCTGACTGACCGTTGCCCTCAGTGACCTCCGGCCCTCGAAGGACGTGGAGTCGGGGGTCATCAGGGTCCTAGCCGACTGACCGCTGGCCTACTTAGACCCGGCCCTCAGAAGGACGTGGGGTCGGGGGACACTCAGGGTCCTCGCTGACTGACCGTTGCCCTCAGTGACCTCCGGCCCTCAGAAGGACGTGGGGTCGGGGACACTCAGGGTCCTAGTTCTCTGACCGTTGCCCTCACTGAGCTCCGGCCCTTAGAAGGACGTGGGGTCGGGGGTATCCTCAGGGTCCTAGCTGACTGACCGCTGGCCCACTCAGCTCCGGCCCTCAGAAGGACGTGGGGTCGGGGACACTCAGGGTCCTCGCTGACTGACCGTTGCCCTCAGTGACCTCTGGCCCTCGAAGGACGTGGAGTCGGGGGTCATCAGGGTCCTAGCCGACTGACCGCTGGCCTACTTAGACCCGGCCCTCAGAAGGACGTGGGGTCGGGGGACACTCAGGGTCCTCGCTGACTGACCGTTGCCCTCAGTGACCTCCGGCCCTCAGAAGGACGTGGGGTCGGGGACACTCAGGGTCCTAGTTCTCTGACCGTTGCCCTCACTGAGCTCCGGCCCTTAGAAGGACGTGGGGTCGGGGGTATCCTCAGGGTCCTAGCTGACTGACCGCTGGCCCACTCAGCTCCGGCCCTCAGAAGGACGTGGGGTCGGGGACACTCAGGGTCCTCGCTGACTGACCGTTGCCCTCAGTGACCTCCGGCCCTCGAAGGACGTGGGGTCGGGGGTCATCAGGGTCCTAGCCTACTGACCGCTGGCCCACTTAGACCCGGCCCTTAGAAGGACGTGGGGTAGGGGTTTCCTCAGGGTCCTAGTTCTCTGACCGTTGCCCTCACTGAGCTCCGGCCCTCAGAAGAATGTGGGGTCGGGGTATCCTCAGGGTCCTAGTCCACTGACCACTGGCCCACTCAGATCCGGCCTTTAGAAGGACGTGGGGTCGGGGGTATCCTCAGGGTCCTAGCCGACTGACCGCTGGCCCACTGAGCTCCGGCCCTCAGAAGGACGTGGGGTCGGGGACCCTCAGGGTCCTAGTCCACTGACCTTTGCCCTCACTCAGACCCGGCCCTGAGAAGGACGTGGGGTCCGGGAATCTTCAGGGTCCTGGTCCACTGACCGTTGGCCTCAGTGACCTCCGGCCTTTAAAAGGACGTGGGGTCGGGCGACACTCAGGGTCCTAGCTGACTGACCGCTGGCCCACTCAGACCCGGCCTTTAGAAGGACGTCGGGTCGAGGACACTCAGGGTCCTAGCCGACTGACCGTTGCCCTCAGTGAACTCCAGCCCTCAGAAGGACGTGGGGTCGGGGGACACTCAGGGTCCTAGCCGAATGACCTTTGCCCTCATTCAGCTCCGGCCCTGAGAACGACGTGGGTTCGGAGTTTCTCAGGGTCCTGGTCCACTGACCGTTGCCCTCAGTGAACTCCAGCCCTCAGAAGGACGTGGGGTTGAGGGACACTCAGGGTCCTAGCTGACTGACCGCTGGCCCACTGAACTCCGGCCCTCAGAAGGACGTGGGGTCGGGGAATCCTCAGGGTCCTAGTCCACTGACCACTGGCCCACTCAGACCCGGCCCTCAGAAGGACGTGGGGTCGGGCGACACTCAGGGTCCTAGCTGACTGACCGCTGGCCCACTCAGCTCCGGCCCTCAGAAGGACGTGGGGTCGGGGAATCTTCAGGGTCCTAGCCTACTGACCGTTGCCCTCAGTGAACTCCGGCCCTCAGAAGAATGTGGGGTCGGGGTATCCTCAGGGTCCTAGTCCACTGACCGTTGCCCTCAGTGACCTCCGGCCCTCAGAAGGACGTGGGGTCGGAGTTTCCTCAGGGTTCTAGTTGACTGACCGCTAGCCCACTCAGACCCGGCTTTTAGAAGGACGTCGGGTCGGGGACACTCAGGGTCCTAGCTGACTGACCGCTAGCCCACTGAGCTCCGGCCCTCAGAAGGACGTGGAGCTTGGGGGTCCAGGGTCCTACCTTGAAGCGAGGTCTTGGGTCTTGGGCTTGACGCTGACTGCCGGAGCCGCTCCGGGGTCCGCCTTTCACGGGGCTCCCAGGATCACCCCGCCCCTGGCCACGCCCACTCTCTGGAACATTCCGGATGGACCGAGATTGTTGCGCAATCCCTCAGCCCCCCCCCCCCCCCACTGGGGGCCTGGTGTGTCCACCGCATTTACCCACCACACACTTCACACTTCACACACACGCACGCGCACACACGTACACGCGCACACACTCGCACACTTCACACACGCACACACACTCACACATGCACACACTTCACACGCGCGCACACTTCACACGCGCACACTTCACACGCGCACACGCACACACACTCGCACACTTCACACACGCACACACACTCACACATGCACACACTTCACACGCGCACACTTCACACGCGCACACGCACACACACTCGCACACACGTGCACACACTTCACACTCGCACACACGCGCACACACTTCACACACGCACACACACACGCACACACGCGCACACACTTCACACACGCACACACACACGCACACACGCGCACACTTCACACGCGCACACGCACACACACTCGCACACACGCGCACACACTTCACACACGCACACACACACGCACACGCGCGCACACTTCACACGCGCACACACGCACACACACTCACACTTCACGCACGCGCACACACACACGCACACACACGCACACTTCACACACACGCGCACACACACACTTCACACACACACGCACACACACTTCACACGCGCACACACACGCACGCGCTAGAACAATACAGAGATATTACCGTACATCCTTAATGGGGGGACGTGTTGGGGTAAGTTGCGCTGGCGAACGCACGGCAAACTCGCTCCATCGTATCTTGTCACGTCTCTCCATCATCTCCTCACCCACCCACCCACTCACCCACTCACCCACCCATACACTCACCCACCCACCTACCCACTCACCCATCCACCCACCCACCCACCCACTCACTCTCTCACTCACTCACTCACCCACCCACCCACCTAACCACCCACTCACTCACCCACCTACTCACTCACCCACTCACCCACCCACTCACCCACTCACCCACCCACTCACCCACCCACTCACCCACCCACTCACCCACCCACCCACCCACTCACCCACCCACCCACTCACCCACCCACCCACTCACCCACTCACCCACTCACTCACCCACCCACTCACGCACCCACCCACCCACTCACCCACCCACCCACCCACTCACTCACTCACTCACCCACCCACCCACTCACCCACCCACTCATCCACTCACCCACCCACCCACTCACTCACCCACCCACTCACCCACCCACCCACTCACCCACCCACCCACTCACCCACCCACCCCCGCCCCCACGTCACCCGCAAGCTCCCAAGCCGTTCAACGCCGTCGCCGCGCACTGCGACTGGCACCTTGCGAAGGAGCTCTCCAAGCCGTGCACCACATCCGCCGTCCGACGTCGGCAGAAGGTGACTGTGGTGGTGTTTTTTTTAAGCAATCGCTCAGCCGCTCCGTAAAGGAGTGAGATGGAACAGATGGAGATTAGTCCACACACTGGTGTAGAAGGGAGTGAGATGGAACAGATGGAGATTAGTCCACACACGGGTGGAAGGGAGTGAGATGGAACAGATGGAGATTAGTCCACCCACGGGTGTAGAAGGGAGTGAGATGGAACAGATGGAGATTAGTCCACACACGGGTGGAAGGGAGTGAGATGGAACAGATGGAGATTAGTCCACACACGGGTGGAAGGGAGTGAGATGGAACAGATGGAGATTAGTCCACCCACGGGTGTAGAAGGGAGTGAGATGGAACAGATGGAGATTAGTCCACACACGGGTGGAAGGGAGTGAGATGGAACAGATGGAGATTAGTCCACCCACGGGTGTAGAAGGGAGTGAGATGGAACAGATGGAGATTAGTCCACCCACGGGTGTAGAAGGGAGTGAGATGGAACAGATGGAAATTAGTCCACACACGGGTATAGAAGGGAGTGAGATGGAACAGATGGAGATTAGTCCACACATGGGTGTAGAAGGGAGTGAGATGGAACAGATGGAGATTAGTCCACACATGGGTGTAGAAGGGAGTGAGATGGAACAGATGGAGATTAGTCCACCCACGGGTGTAGAAGGGAGTGAGATGGAACAGATGGAAATTAGTCCACACACGGGTATAGAAGGGAGTGAGATGGAACAGATGGAGATTAGTCCACACACGGGTGTAGAAGGGAGTGAGATGGAACAGATGGAGATTAGTCCACACATGGGTGTAGAAGGGAGTGAGATGGAACAGATGGAGATTAGTCCACACACGGGTATAGAAGGGAGTGAGATGGAACAGATGGAGATTAGTCCACACATGGGTGTAGAAGGGAGTGAGATGGAACAGATGGAGATTAGTCCACACATGGGTGTAGAAGGGAGTGAGATGGAACAGATGGAGATTAGTCCACCCACGGGTGTAGAAGGGAGTGAGATGGAACAGATGGAAATTAGTCCACACACGGGTATAGAAGGGAGTGAGATGGAACAGATGGAGATTAGTCCACACACGGGTGTAGAAGGGAGTGAGATGGAACAGATGGAGATTAGTCCACACACGGGTGTAGAAGGGAGTGAGATGGAACAGATGGAAATTAGTCCACCCACGGGGTAGAAGGGAGTGAGATGGAACAGATGGAAATTAGTCCACACACGGGTATAGAAGGGAGTGAGATGGAACAGATGGAGATTAGTCCACCCATGGGTGTAGAAGGGAGTGAGATGGAACAGATGGAGATTAGTCCACACACGGGTGTAGAATGGAGTGAGATGGAACAGATGGAGATTAGTCCACACACGGGTGGAAGGGAGTGAGATGGAACAGATGGAGATTAGTCCACCCACGGGTATAGAAGGGAGTGAGATGGAACAGATGGAGATTAGTCCACACACGGGGTAGAAGGGAGTGAGATGGAACAGATGGAGATTAGTCCACCCATGGGTGTAGAAGGGAGTGAGATGGAACAGATGGAGATTAGTCCACACACTGTGTAGAAGGGAGCGAGATGGAACAGATGGAGATTAGTCCACACACGGGGTAGAAGGGAGCGAGATGGAACAGATGGAGATTAGTCCACCCACGGGTGTAGAAGGGAGCGAGATGGAACAGATGGAGATTAGTCCACACACGGGTATAGAAGGGAGTGAGATGGAACAGATGGAGATTAGTCCACACACGGGGTAGAAGGGAGTGAGATGGAACAGATGGAAATTAGTCCACACACGGGGTAGAAGGGAGTGAGATGGAACAGATGGAGATTAGTCCACACACGGGTGTAGAAGGGAGTGAGATGGAACAGATGGAGATTAGTCCACCCATGGGTGTAGAAGGGAGTGAGATGGAACAGATGGAGATTAGTCCACACACGGGTGTAGAAGGGAGTGAGATGGAACAGATGGAGATTAGTCCACCCATGGGTGTAGAAGGGAGTGAGATGGAACAGATGGAGATTAGTCCACACACGGGTGTAGAAGGGAGTGAGATGGAACAGATGGAGATTAGTCCACACACGGGTGTAGAAGGGAGTGAGATGGAACAGATGGAAATTAGTCCACACACGGGTAGAAGGGAGTGAGATGGAACAGATGGAGATTAGTCCACACACGGGTGGAAGGGAGTGAGATGGAACAGATGGAGATTAGTCCACACACGGTGTAGAAGGGAGTGAGATGGAACAGATGGAGATTAGTCCACACACGGGTCTAGAAGGGAGTGAGATGGAACAGATGGAGATTAGTCCACCCACGGGTATAGAAGGGAGCGAGATGGAACAGATGGAGATTAGTCCACCCACGGGTGTAGAAGGGAGTGAGATGGAACAGATGGAGATTAGTCCACACACGGGTGACGGTGGATACTTTTCATGATTCGCGATCTTCGCGTTTCAGATCTCCAACACGAGAGCAGCGGTCTGCGTCGTGACGGCCGCCGCCTTATTCATGAGTAGGTCAAGCGCACGCACAGAGACACACAGAGACACACACAGAGACACACACAGACACACAGACATACAGAGACACACACTCAGAGACACACACAGAGACACAGAGACACACACACAGAGACACAGAGACACACAGAGACACAGAGACACACACACAGAGACACAGAGACACACACACAGACACAGAGACACACAGAGACACACAGAGACACACAGAGAGACACACACAGAGACACACACACAGAGACACACACAGAGACACACACAGAGACACACACACAGAGACACAGAGACACACACAGACATACAGAGACACACACAGACACACACAGAGACACAGAGACACAGAGACACACACACAGAGACACACAGACACACACACAGAGACACAGAGACACACACACAGAGACACAGAGACACACACACAGAGACACAGAGACACACACACAGAGACACAGAGACACACACACAGAGACACACACAGAGACACACAGAGACACACACACAGAGACACAGAGACACACACAGAGACACACAGAGACACACACAGACACACACAGAGACACACACACACACAGAGACACACACACACAGACACACACACTCAGAGACACACACTCAGAGACACACAGAGACACAGAGACACACACAGAGACACACGCAGAGACACACGCAGAGACACACACAGAGACTCACAGAGAGACTCACAGGGAGACTCACACAGAGACACACACAGAAACACACACAGAGACACACAAAGACTCACACAGACACTCACACAGAGACTCACACAGAGACACACACAGAAACACACACACAGAAACACACAGACACACACACAGAGACACACACAGAAGCTCACACAGACACTCACACAGAGACTCACACAGAGACACACACAGAAACACACACACAGAAACACACAGACACACACACAGAGACACACACAGAAGCTCACACAGACACTCACACAGAGACTCACACAGAGACTCACACAGAGACACACACAGAAGCTCACACAGACACTCACACAGAGACTCACACAGAGACACACACAGAGACTCACACAGAAACTCACACAGACTCACACAGACTCACAGAGACTCACACAGAGACACACACAGAGACACACACAGAGACTCACACAGAGACACACAGAGACACAGAGACACACACAGACACACACAGACACACAGAGACTCACACAGACACTCACACAGAAACTCACACAGACTTACATATAGGTAAGAATCCTACTGATGATGATAACGCTGCTACTGCTGCTACTGCTGAAACACTCTCGTGATTTCCCAGCCGTGGCTCCGACATCTGCCGCTGCTACTCCCGACGACGACGCCAGGACGTTCGTGGCAGGTCCCAACGTCACGGTGTCGTTCCTGTTCGACCACGTCAACAACGCCATCGAAGTCCGCCTGCTCAGGAACGGCTCTCTTCTGGCAAGTAGCAAGGGGCAGAGGTCGCAAACGGGTTTTGATTCCTTACCCGTACCCGGCCGCACCAGGGTCGCAAACGGGTACCCGTACCCGTACCCGGCCGTACCCGTACCCGGCCGTACCCTACCCGTACCCGGTACGGGTATCGGGTACCCGATTGCGACCTCTGGGATGAAGCCATGTTGCAGGCGCGGGTGGGTTGATTCTAGGAACTTGAATTGTGAGAAGAGACAAGACGTTGGGAAATGAGTGACAAACGGTGACTCACCAGTGACTCACGGCCTACCCGTACCCGGCCGCACCAGGGTCGCAAACTCTCTCACTCACTCACCCACCCACTAATTCACCCACTCACTCACCCACTCACTCACCCACTCACTCACCCACTCACTCACCCACTCACGAACTCACTCACCCACTCACCCACCCACGCACTCACCCACCAACCAGAGGTCGCAAACGGGTTTTGATTCCCTACCCGTACCCGTACCCGGCCGCACCAGGGTCGCAAACGGCTACCCGTACCCGGCCGTACCCGTACCCTACCCGTACCCGTACCCGGACGGGTACAGGTGTACGGGTATCTGGTAGGGTACGGGTATCGGGTACCCGGTTGCGACCTCTGGCAAGGGGCCGGCCATAAATGACGTCACGCACCTAGGGGGGGCGGGGGTGCGGGGGGGCGGGGTCAGACATTTGTGACGATGTGTGACGAGGGGTTTGAGAAATGTGACGTCACGTCGAAATGCTGCAACTTTAAATGAATATAGACAACACGTTCTACTTGATTAAATAGGCTTTTTAATAAATGTTTTCTGCTACAACATCGGAGTGGTGCAGCGCCGCATTAAATACGCACTACAATTACAATAAATTTTATTTGTTTACGTGGTGGTTTAGTTACTGCAGCTCCATACTATTAAAATTCCTTCCCTTTGTTAATGCTACTCCTACTCCCTCCCTTTGATGCTGCTAATCCTGCATAATGCACGGGCATAATATGACTTTGAGACCCCCCGCCCACCTCCTATGCATTCCACAAGTAGTGACTAATCCCATATCTGCATTTCCCATAAATATGCTAAATTCCTCTTGATATGCAAATTATTTTGTCAAGGCGCTCTTCCCCCTCCAACCCAGCAGCTTAAATATACGCTCCAAGCCTGGTGGTGTTTCATTCAGACGCTGTCTTTCCGACAGACCTGTTCTTCACCTGAGGACGGCTGCTTGCGTTGTGGCCGAAACGTCGTGAGAATTATTTTATTATGTTTTATTTGTATTATTTTATTCCCTTCTACGTGACTTTTTCGAAAGAACCAAGAAGGTACAATAACAATAGTTTAAAACGATTTGAAGCATTTTTTATTTTTTGTTGGGGAGGGGGGGGGGGGTCTGACTTTTTGTGACGCCGTGTGACGAAGGGGGGGAGGGGAGGGGAGGTCGAAAATCGTCCAAAATTGCGTGACGTCATTTATGGACGGCCCCTTATTAAAACCGTTGTTTTATTACTTGTCCAGGTAAGGCCTGCAGCAGAGGTCGCAAACGAGTTTTGATTCCTTACCCGTACCCGTACCCGGCTGCACCAGGGTCGCAAACGGGTACCCGTACCCAGCCGTACCCGTAACCTACCCGTACCTGCAGTCGTGATGCAAACAAAAAACACAACTCTGATAATGTATGTGCACTGTCCTTGAAGTTGATTGGTCCACACCCGAGACAGCTTTCCTTAGAGCCTAGTCTCACATGGTGTTGGACCAGATGACGCCAAAAGGAGTTGTTCAAAGTGCTGCCGCTGCCGTTGTTGTTGTATTCGCCGTTGCTATCTCTCTTCTCGCTTTGCCGGGTATTCATCCAGTCGTCGTTGTTTAGTTGTTAAGTCATCATTTAGTCGCCGTTTAGTCGCCGTTTAGTCGTCGTTGGGGCCCGACGCGTCGTTTAGTCACCGTGTGCTCTGCCCCACCACAGACGAACTGACTCACGACGGGCCAGACGCGTCGTGTAGTCACCGTGTGCTCTGCCCCACCGCAGACGAACTGACTCACGACGGGACAGACGCGTCGTGTAGTCACCGTGTGCTCTGCCCCACCGCAGGCGAACAGCCTCACGACGGGACAGACGCGCCGTGTAGTCACCGTCTGCTCTGCCCCACCGCAGACGAACTGACTCACGACGGGACAGACGCGTCGTGTAGTCACCGTGTGCTCTGCGCCACCGCAGACGAACTGACTCACGACGGGACAGACGCGTCGTGTAGTCACCGTGTGCTCTGCCCCACCGCAGACGAACTGACTCACGACGGGACAGATGCCTCGTGTAGTCACCGTGTGCTCTGCCCCACCGCAGACGAACTGACTCACGACAGGCCAGACGCCTCGTGTAGTCACCGTGTGCTCTGCGCCACCGCAGACGAACTGACTCATGACGGGACAGACGCGTCGTGTAGTCACCGTGTGCTCTGCCCCACCGCAGGCGAACAGCCTCACAACGGGACAGACGCGTCGTGTAGTCACCGTCTGCTCTGCCCCACCGCAGACGAACTGACTCACGACGGGACAGACGCGTCGTGTAGTCACCGTGTGCTCTGCGCCACCGCAGACGAACTGACTCACGACGGGACAGACGCGTCGTGTAGTCACCGTGTGCTCTGCCCCACCGCAGACGAACTGACTCACGACGGGACAGATGCCTCGTGTAGTCACCGTGTGCTCTGCCCCACCGCAGACGAACTGACTCACGACGGGCCAGACGCGTCGTGTAGTCACCGTGTGCTCTGCCCCACCGCAGACGAACAGCCTCACGACGGGCCAGACGCCTCGTGTAGTCACCGTGTGCTCTGCCCCACCGCAGACGAACTGACTCACGACGGGACAGACGCCTCGTCTAGTCATCGTGTGCTCTGCCCCACCGCAGACGAACTGATTCACGACGGGCCAGACGCCTCGTGTAGTCACCGTGTGCTCTGCCCCACCGCAGACGAACTGACTCACGACGGGACAGACGCCTCGTGTAGTCACCGTGTGCTCTGCCCCACCGCAGACGAACTGACTCACGACGGGACAGACGCGTCGTGTAGTCACCGTGTGCTCTGCCCCACCGCAGGCGAAGTGACTCACGACGGGGCAGACGCCTCGTGTAGTCACCATGTGCTCTGCGCCACCGCAGACGAACTGACTCACGACGGGGCAGACGCGTCGTGTAGTCACCGTGTGCTCTGCCCCACCGCAGACGAACTGACTCACGACGGGACAGACGCCTCGTCTAGTCACCGTGTGCTCTGCCCCACCGCAGGCGAAGTGACTCACGACGGGGCAGACGCCTCGTGTAGTCACCGTGTGCTCTGCCCCACCGCAGGCGATCTGCGAGACGACGGGCCAATTGGATTGTGGCAAGTCACGTGACCCCGACCTGCGCGTCGATCACTGGTCCCCGACCCACGGAACGGTGTTCTTCCCCGAGGCGGTCGTCGGGACGTACGTCCTGCGGTGCTGCGACGCCAACGGAGACTGCAGCGAGTTCAACTTCAGCGGTGCGTGTTTGTGTGTGATGTGGTGTGTGGTGTAGTGGTGTAGTGTAGTGTGTGGTGTAGTGTGTGGTGTGTAGTGTGGTGTGTGGTGTGGTGTTGTGTGTGGTGTAGTGTATAGTGTAGTGTGTGGTGTAGTGTATAGTGCAGTGTAGTGTGTATAGTGTAGTGTGTAGTGTAGTGTGTAGTGTAATGTGTGGTGTAGTGTAGTGTGTAGTGTAGTGTAGCGTGTAGTGTGTGGTATAGTGTGTAGTGTAGCGTGTAGTGTAGTGTGTGGTGTGTAGTGTAGTGTAGCGTGTAGTGTATAGTGTAGTGTGTGGTGTAGTGTGTGGTGTAGTGTAGTTTGTAGTGTATAGTGTGGTGTAGTGTAGTGTAGTGTGTAGTGTAGTGTGTAGTGTAGCGTGTAGTGTAGCGTGTAGTGTAGCGGGCGTTCGACACCTCACGTGGCCTTAACGTGCACCAAACCTGGCACAATTGCCGTGGTAAGACATCACCACAAATCCTTGAAATATTTGAACAAAGTCCCATCGTTGAGCTCCTCCTTGTGGCTGTACGGGGCGTGAGGAGGGGGTTCTTTGTTTTTGAGTGCTCGTAAATCTCCGTCTTCTCATTGTTGACGGGGCTCCGTCCGCTGTCCGATTCCTGCGTTCACAGTGGAGGCCATTCCTGCGACGACTCCCGCCACGTCTCGCCCTCCTGCCACTCGCCCATCGGACCGGCTGCCCGCGACCTCTACACCCCCGTGGTTGATTGCCGTTGCCGTTGCCGTGGTCGGAATCGTGTTTGTCGCCGGATTGGTTTGTGCCGTGTACCGCTTCAAATTCAGCGGTCACAGAGCACTGCCTGTTAAGGAACCGGCAGATGAGATATCTCTTAGCACACGACCCCATTTGACCTCCCCACCCCCAAGCCCCTCCCCTCTCGACCCCCTCTCCATAGAGAGCCATACGGGCAAAGACGAAGAAATGGAACACTCCCTAGCCACCACATTGCTCCAATCGACCTCCTGCGTACCGGGCGAGGTAGTTAACACTCCTTAGCCACCACATTGCCCCAATCGACCTCCTGCGTACCGGGCGAGGAAGTTAACACTCCCTAGCCACCACATTGCCCCAATCGACCTCCTGCGTACCAGGCGAGGTAGTTAACACTCCCCAGCCACCACATTGCCCCAATCGACCTCCTGCGTACCGGGCGAGGTAGTTAACACTCCCCAGCCACCACATTGCTCCAATCAACCTGCGTACCGGGCGAGGTAGTTAACACTCCCTCGCCACCACATTGCTCCAATCGACCTCCTGCGTACCGGGCGAGGTAGTTAACACTCCCTAGCCACCACATTGCCCCAATCGACCTCCTGCGTACCAGGCGAGGTAGTTAACACTCCCCAGCCACCACATTGCCCCAATCGACCTCCTGCGTACCGGGCGAGGTAGTTAACACTCCCCAGCCACCACATTGCTCCAATCAACCTGCGTACCGGGCGAGGTAGTTAACACTCCCTCGCCACCACATTGCTCCAATCGACCTCCTGCGTACCAGGCGAGGTAGTTAACACTCCTTAGCCACCACATTGCTCCAATCGACCTCCTGCGTACCAGGCGAGGTAGTTAACACTCCCTAGCCACCACATTGCTCCAATCGACCTCCTGCGTACCAGGCGAGGTAGTTAACACTCCTTAGCCACCACATTGCTCCAATCGACCTCCTGCGTACCAGGCGAGGTAGTTAACACTCCCCAGCCACCACATTGCTCCAATCGACCTCCTGCGTACCAGGCGAGGTAGTTAACACTCCCCAGCCACCACATTGCTCCAATCGACCTCCTGCGTACCAGGCGAGGTAGTTAACACTCCTTAGCCACCACATTGCTCCAATCGACCTCCTGCGTACCGGGCGAGGTAGTTAACACTCCTTAGCCACCACATTGCTCCAATCGACCTCCTGCGTACCGGGCGAGGTAGTTAACACTCCCAAGCCACCACATTGCTTGTATCGTGGATCATCTTAGGGGCCATCTATAAATGACATCAAGCACCTGGGGGAGGGGAGGGGGGGGGTCAGACATTTGTGACGATGTGTGACGGGGGGGGGGTTTGAGAAATGTGACGTCACATCAAAATGCGCAACTTTAAATAAATGTAGACAACACGTTCTACTTAATTAAATAGACTTTTTTATAAATGTTTGCTACTACAACATCAGAGTGCAGCGCCACATTAAATACACACTACAATGACAATAGTTTAAAGCGATTTGAAGCATGTTTTATTTTGGGGGGGGCAGAGCTTTGTGACGTCATATTTGAGGGGGGGGGGGTAAGAAAATCGTTCAAAATCGCGTGACGTCATTTATGGTCGGCCCCTTTCCATGATCGGGGGGCTTTTTGTTGTTTTATTTGTAGGGGTTGGATCGCGTGAGGGCGTCAATCAATCCCACCACCGCACGACGCTATACACTACACTACACACTACACTATACACTACACTATACACTACACTACACACTACACTATACACTACACTATACACTACACTACACACTACACTATACACTACACTACACACTACACTATACACTACACTACACACTATACACTACACTACACTATACACTACACTACACACTATACACTACACTACACTATACACTACACTACACACTACACTATACACTACACTACACACTATACACTACACTACACTATACACTACACACTACACTACTATACACTACACTATACACTACACACTACACTATATACTAGACTATACACTACACTATACACTACACTATACACTACACTACACACTACACTACACTACACACTACACTATACACTACACTATACACTACACTATACACTACACAGTAGACACTATACACTACTACACTATACACTACACTAAACACTACACACTACACTACACTATACACTACACTAGACACTACACTATACACCACACTACACACTACACTACACTATACACTACACTATACACCACACTACACACTACACTATACACTACACTATACACTACACACTATACTACACTATACACTACACTATACACTACACTATACACTATACACCACACTACACACTACACTACACTATACACTACACTATACACCACACTACACTATACACTACACTATACACTACACTACACACTACACTATACACCACACTACACACTACACTATACACTACACTATATACTACACTATACAATACACTATACACTACACGATACACTACACTATACACTATACACTACACTATACACTACACTATACACTACACTACACACTACACTACACTATACACTACACTATACACTATACTATACACTACACTACACTATACACTACACTATACACTACACTACACACTACACTATACACTAGACTATACACTACACTACACTATACACTACACTATACACTACACTACACACTACACTACACACTACACTATACACTAGACTATACACTACACTACACTATACACTACACTATACACTGCACTACACTATACACTATACACTACACTATACACTACACTATACTATACACTACACTACACTATACACTACACTATACACTACACTACACACTACACTATACACTACACTACACACTACACTACACACTACACTATACACTAGACTATACACTACACTACACTATACACTACACTATACACTGCACTACACTATACACTATACACTACACTATACACTACACTATACACTATACACTACACTATACACTACACACTACACTATACACTACACTATACACTGCACTACACTATACACTACACTATACACTACACACTACACTATACACTACACTATACACTACACTACACACTACACTATACACTACACTATTAACTACACTACACACTATACACTACACACTACACTATACACTACACTACACACTACACTACACTATACACTACACTATTAACTACACTACACACTATACACTACACACTACACTACACACTACACTACACACTACACTACACTATACACTACTACACTACACACTACACTATACACTACACTATACACTACACTATACACTACACTATATACTACACTATACACTACACTATACACTACACTACAAACGGTTCGTTCGTTTCTCGATCCGCGTGTCCTGGCGAGGCTCACGGCAGCGGTGCGTTGAGCAGTGAGCTCCAGCTCGCGACTTGATTTCGCACGCGGTGATCACACGACGCATTCTAGTGGAGCTTGCCTACCCGAGGCTCTGCAGACGAGTCGAAAACCCGCCTGATCCTCCCACGGTGTAATAAAGGACTTCGCCGACACACTGCTCGGTCTCCGTCTCTCTCTCTCTTCATTCTCGTTGACGTTCGCACTCCGCTGGTCCCGACAGCGGAACCGGCTGCTGGTCGCTGCGCGCTCCCTCCGTCAGTCGTACCATCGCTCCCCCGCTCCCGCACACCCGCTGGCCGACGGTGTGCTCGAAGCGTATATCCTTCGGCCACCCAACGTGGTCCAGCTTCATGACTCTACCAACTGACCCGGAGCCCTTCCGGGATCCCACCTATATTCCCTTCACCACGTGACCCTGTCTCCTCACTCTCACCACGTGACCCTGTCTCCACCCTCTCACCACGTGACCCTGTCTCCTCCCCCTCACCACGTGACCCTGTCTCCACCCTCTCACCACGTGACCCTGTCTCCACCCTCTCACCACGTGACCCTGTCTCCACCCTCTCACCACGTGACCCTGTCTCCTCCCCCTCACCACGTGACCCTGTCTCCTCCCCCTCACCACGTGACCCTGTCTCCACCCTCTCACCACGTGACCCTGTCTCCTCCCCCTCACCACGTGACCCTGTCTCCACCCTCTCACCACGTGACCCTGTCTCCACCCTCTCACCACGTGACCCTGTCTCCTCCCCCTCACCACGTGACCCTGTCTCCTCCCCCTCACCACGTGACCCTGTCTCCACCCTCTCACCACGTGACCCTGTCTCCTCCCCCTCACCACGTGACCCTGTCTCCACCCTCTCACCACGTGACCCTGTCTCCTCCCCCTCACCACGTGACCCTGTCTCCACCCCCTCACCACGTGACCCTGTCTCCACCCTCTCACCACGTGACCCTGTCTCCACCCTCTCACCACGTGACCCTGTCTCCACCCTCTCACCACGTGACCCTGTCTCCACCCTCTCACCACGTGACCCTGTCTCCACCCTCTCACCACGTGACCCTGTCTCCACCCTCTCACCACGTGACCCTGTCTCCACCCTCTCACCACGTGACCCTGTCTCCACCCTCTCACCACGTGACCCTGTCTCCACCCTCTCACCACGTGATCCTGTCTCCACCCTCTCACCACGTGACCCTGTCTCCACCCTCTCACCACGTGACCCTGTCTCCACCCTCTCACCACGTGACCCTGTCTCCTCCCCCTCACCACGTGACCCTGTCTCCACCCTCTCACCACGTGACCCTGTCTCCTCCCCCTCACCACGTGACCCTGTCTCCACCCTCTCACCACGTGATCCTGTCTCCACCCTCTCACCACGTGATCCTGTCTCCACCCTCTCACCACGTGACCCTGTCTCCACCCTCTCACCACGTGATCCTGTCTCCACCCTCTCACCACGTGATCCTGTCTCCACCCTCTCACCACGTGATCCTGTCTCCACCCTCTCACCACGTGATCCTGTCTCCACCCTCTCACCACGCCCTTCACCGAACCTTCCAGATCCCGACTTCCGCATAGCGCCCCGCTGGCTCCGCCCGTAGGTTCCGCCCCCGCTCTCCTCGCTTCCGATTGGACCGGAGGTGAGCGGCGGACCTTCACATACGACCCCATACTGGGCCCCGCTCCCGATACCCCGGGCCGTGTGATTGGCCCAGAGCCGAGCTGCGAAACCCCGATTACGCTCGCATTACACACGGATGCTTTCGTGCGGTCTTCCGAGGTTTACCGAGGCCCTCCGTACCCAACTCGGACTTTCGCCGCGGCGGACAGCTGGAACTTGATGCCACGACACGGGATGACGATGTCGGGCATGTTCAACAAATAGGAAGAGGCCCCCGGACGGACCCCTGTGTGATGTACGCGGCGATGGCGATGACCGTTCGTCACCGAGCTTGACGAACCGCGATCGACCGT